TGCCACAGCAGGGCCTCCCTCCCGGAGGCCCCTGTCCATCACTCTCAGGACCCTGAACCACTGGGTTGGCGGGTGACCTCACGGGACCCGTGTCCGTGCCCACCTTACATGTCCTGCACACCTAGACAAAGCAGAGGGTTTAGTACACACTGAGTGAATGGCCCTACCCACAGCAGAGGCTGGGTGGGGGAGGCCCCTCCTGCCCTCCCTGCCCAGCAAAGAGTCACTGTGTGTGGGTCTGAGTGGGCTCCCCTCAGGCTTCCTCTGAAAACACCCACCTCAGCATGGACAAGAGAGGCAGGCAGGCAGCCGATGCCATCTGAGGGTCACTACCTGTGAGTGTACCAGAGCACAGGGCAACATCCTCCTCTGAGGCCTCTGGGGGCTGCATGTGAGGCTCGGGGCAAGGCTGCTTGGCAGGGCCCTGCTGGTCTCCCCCCGCCCGCTCTGCAGCTGCAGCGACCAGGGCAGAGGACACACCTGTGCGGAGGGTGAGCAGGAAGAGCACGGCACCTGCGGCTGCATCTGCTCCATCTGGCCAGGGCCTTGGCAGAGCAGCCACTCTGAGATAAAGCCAGCTTGGCAGCTGGGGCAAAGTTCCAGGCATGCAAAGGTCACTACTAAATCAAGTATAATCAGCTCATAACCTCACTGGTTCCACCTGCACAATTCCAGAGAGCATATAGAGGTGGGAGGTTGTTGACATGGATCCGGGCGGCTGCTCAGCTTTCTCTTTGTCTTCGGTGGCTGCTGTAGTTGTTCTGAGCTGAGAACATGCACACTCCTCACCTAATCTTTATCCTACTTGGTGAGGCCAGAAGCCAGTGGTGCCGGGGTGGGGCTAGAAGCCAGGTGGTGCCGGGGTGGGGCTAGAAGCCAGGTGGTGCCAGGTGGGGCCCTGGAGGCAGGAACGCTCTCTTTCTTGCCACAGGCGCGTCACACAGGTGCAGTTGCTCTGCGCGGGGCGTGGCCTCCTTGCGCTCTGCACATCAGGAACCTGCCTTCTCCAACTGTGAGGCACCTGTCAGTAGGAGAGGCCGCCCCCGCCGGTTACCTGCCACTGCTGCTGCTGCTTCCTTCCCCCATAGGTCTGGGTCACAATTGTGCCCTCCTCCACTTGCAAACCCTCCCAAGTGTGTTTTGTTTCTAGCATGTATTCCTTTTCTTAACTGACCCCCTAAATCTTGAGAGGCCGTTGTTTTCTTCACCAGCTGATTAGGGCCCCATCCGGAGCTGGCACCTTGTCCTTGCAGCTGCTGTTGTTCAGTCCTTCTGGGAGGACACATCGCATGCTTGAGATGGCATGCCCGCCACCATCTCCTGAAATCCAGTGATGCAAGGACTGAACCTCTCATCAAAAAAATTCCTAAGTTGAAATTCCACCCCAGGTGTTGTGGTGTTAGGGAAGTGGTGAGGTCACGAGGGCTCAGCCCTCAGGAACACGATTGCTACACTAAAAAACAGATAGACCAGACACGGGGGCTCACCCTGTGATCCCAGCCCTGGGAGGCTGAGGCAGGGGCAATCTCTTGAGGCCAGGAGTAGGAACCAACATGGGCAACAGATTGGGACACTCATCTCTAAAAAAATTAAAAGGTAATAAAAAACTATTTGGGCATATTCCCCTGCCTATAGTCCCAACTACCCAGGAGACTGAGGCAAGAGGATCAGTGAACTATGATGACTCCACTGTACTTAGTCTGGGTAGCAGAGCAAGCCACAGTCTCAGAAAACCAGGTGCCAGAGAGCTCTTTCAGCCCTCCCACTACAGAAAGATGTAGGGAGAAAAACCCTGTCTGCAGCCCACAGTGGGCCCTCCCCAGTCAGGGATCCTGCAGTACCAGCCTCTGAAACCTGAGAAATCAAGGTTTGCTGTTTAAACCTCAAGCCTAGGGTATTGAAGCCCCCAACCTAGGGTTTAGCCCTGGAGTGCTGGCCCACGCTGAAGGTACTTTCTTTCTACCTGCCACGCTGAAGGTACTTTCTTTCTACCTGTGCCCAGGACCCAGCCCCTCCGTCAGGCTCAGGGATGCAGAAAGGGCAGTCAAGGATACAGACAAGGAACAGGGAGCCAGGGCACAGAGAGACACAGTTTCCCCACACAGCTAAGCAGGTATGTATGCCCCACAGGAAGGCCCACCCAGGAGGAATGCCCAGGCTTAGGGTCACCCAGAGAAGGACACACAGGCCCTGTGCACTGGCCACTCACCCCCGTGCAAGCTGGAGACCTAGACGTGTGCTGGGCCTTGCTGTGCGGCCTGGAGGCTTCCTCCCTCTGTGAACTGAATGAAAATCCTGCCCAAGGCAACTCTGAGAAGACCTGGAGTCCTTCTGTCCCAGCCTGACGCAGACCCCTCCCTTTCCAGGCTAGCTCCAGAAAATCGGGCTTGGATTCCAGTGTGACTCCAGTCTGTCTGTTCTGATGAGCCTTAGATACTGGCCCAAGCGGAGAGGCTCGGCCAGTCCCCCGACGATGCGGACACCCCGGACCCTCCACGCAGCCGCACCGGGGGCAACAAAAGGACTCGCATCTCAGCTGCGGGAACGCGGGCGGACGATCTGACAAGCTCAGGGCCCCAAGTGGGAAAGGAGAACACTCTGGCCCGACGGAGCCTTCTAGTCAGGGCAGGGAACCCAGGTCGCCGCGCCGGGGCTGAAGACGCAGGCTGGACGCCACTGCTCCGCCGGCAGCCCTGTACGGAGCAGGAGGATGGTAGGAACATTGTCCCCAGGGTCAGACCACGGGAGGGGAGGCAGAACGGTTAGGGTGGATGTCGGTGGCGCAGCGGGAATCGGGGAGACCCCGCCTCAGCCTGGCTCCCACCTTGTGGTCTTGCTCCTTCCTGGCGTCGCTGGGACCGGCGAAGCCTGGGAGCCGGTGCAGAAAGGTGCAGATGTGTGCGCGCCCCAGGAGGGCGGTCGAGGGTGGGAGGGAGACCCGAACTGTTCTCGCCTGGAAACCCCCAATCTCAGACCTAGAGGTGCCCGGGCTCCTGCGCGCTCGAGGCTCTGGGTCTCGTAAGACCTCCAGCTGGGAGCGCTGCGGGCCTCGAGTGGTGATCGCTGCCTCCTCTGAACGATCCCGGTCCTGGGGGCGGGGTGCAGGGGCGCGGCCCGGGCTTGTCCCCCGCCCACCCGAGGCGGTGCGGAGGTGGAGTCAGGACCGGAGGGCGACCCCGACGGCGGGAGGGAGGGGCGGACCTGGGCTACTCGATAAGAGCCCAGACCCAGACCGCCCAGCGCAGCGGAGCCAGACTTGGAGCCTTCGCGTAAGCTCAGTGGGACCCGCGTGCAGACCTGGGCAGACAGGTAAGGCAGGGTCGCTGCCTGCACAGGCGTCCCCGTGCATCCCCTGGCCTGGCCGCCGGCTCAGCACACCCCGAGAGAGGGGCAAGGCGAGGGCAGGCGCCGTCGGGGGCCCGCGTGCGGCTGAAGGTGATATCTCCAAATTAGCCAACAGTCGCGGGCGGGGAGCGCGACCCGACAGTGCCACTTGGGGTCCTCGAGGGCAACAGAGGCCGAGCGGTGTGTGTACGGGTTGGGGTGCAGGGCTGGTGATGCGCCCGTGGTCCCCGGCCCCTCCCAAGCTCAGGACTACTCGGGCAGGGGCCGCCATCACTGGCTTCCAGGGGACGCGTGGCTATCTGTGGCAGGAGCCTGCGGTCCAGTTCCTCCTAGTCCAGCCCCTCGCCGCCACCGTGAAGAGGCGGACCCCAGATTTTCCCCAACACCGCTTCATCTCGCGGGGTTTTTGTCTTCGACGTCTAAGACCGACGCTGGGGCGGGAGCTCGGTGGGGCTTCCAGGCTGATGGGGAGGGCGGAGGAAGCCGGGCCGGGGCGAGCGACAGTGTGTCAGCGGTCTCTGGCTCGGTGTCTTGTTCTGGGTGCGGAGAAGAAAGATGCTGTCCACCAAGACGCATTTTCCTTTCGGCACCCAAACCTGCCTCTAAGGCCCCCAAAGTTTAGCTCGCAGCCAGGGCTGCATTCAGAGCAAAATGCCCTGGGGTTTAAATCTCTGCAACGTGCCACTCTCCCTACTGGACCGAGTTGCGGGCCAGTCTCTCCTCCCCAGCCCTGCAACCGCTGGGCAGGTTCTTTGCAGAACCCATTAAGTGCAGGCTGAGTTTGTTGCTAGGAGGGGAAGAGACCACAGAACAGAGCCACGTAAAGTGGCTGATGTGATGAGATTGTGTTCAAATGTGGGTGCAAGGGAACATTGCCCCTCTAGAGCTGCCACCTGGGGGCCTGCCCAGTCCACATGCACCATGAAACAGTGCCCAGGGATCAGAAGTCACTGCCTCCGGGTGGCTGTGTCTGTTCTGCTTCTGTCTGTCCCCAGCTTCACTGCCCAGGGCTCTGTGGGGATCATTTGCATAAGATTGCCCTGCCCAGCCTCCACCAGGCTTTCAGGTAGGGCCCAGGCCATAAGTGAATGTGGATTGTACAGGATTCTTTGAAGAAACTGTTGTGATGCTTATTTTTAAACTTCAGTTACTATGGCTGATTCTGATTATATAAATTTTGCTCTTGTATTACTGAGTATAAAGAACACATAGTTACTTTCCTAAGGTCTTAGTATTGAAATAGTCACAGGTTATAAAATTATTCTCTGGAAAAGTGGTGCGAGGTGAAGGTAACATCTGTGCATTACTATCCGAAAGCTGCATTAGAAGTCATGCAGGTACTGAACTTGGACAGGAACAGAGAGGGGCACCCCACAAAGTGGGCACAGAGTCCAGTACCTGCCTCCAGGTATCCCTAACACCAGCCAAGAGCCAACCTCTCCCAGCCCTCCTCAACCCACGTGCCGTCTTAGGTACTTGGAATATGTTTTTTCCTTCCCAAAGGAATGAATACAGATGCCTCAGTCTCTGCTCTCTACACTAGGTATGTCTGTAGTCCTGGCTGCTAAATCACTGCTTTCCTGTGTGTGTTTATTTTTCATATTGGCTGAAAACCAAGAGAAGAAGCACAGAATTCCTAGATCCCAAGCCTGCCCATGAGTAAAAGCAAATGCCCGGCAGGATCCATGTCTTCTGCCGTGGCCCCAGCTAAGGAGCACAACGCCATAAGCCTGAAGGAGGTGGAGCTCATCCTGCTGAAAGAGCAGAATGGGGTGCAGCTCACCAACTCCACTCTCATCAGCCCGCCACAGACTGCTGCGGAGACCCAGGAGCGGGAGACCTGGAGCAAGAAAATTGACTTTCTCCTCTCAGTCATAGGCTTTGCGGTGGACCTGGCCAACGTCTGGCGGTTTCCCTACCTGTGCTACAAAAACGGCGGTGGTAAGTCCCATCTCAGCTGCCCCCGAATACTCCTGCTGGGCGGGCTGCAGGGGCAGCGGGCCACTGGCAAGGTTATGCTGTCCTCCTGCCTGGAGACCCGGCTCCTCCACTCAAGGGCGGGCAGCAGGGTGCAGATTTCCCAGATGATGTCACAAATCACAGAGCAGAGCTCAAAGCTCTCCGGTTCTGTGTCTGTCTTCCAGTTTAGCAAAATGAGGTAGTAAAAAAGAAGCTAGAAGGAAGTGGGTGGAGGCACCTGGGCTCTTCCTTCTATTTCTAAAAGTTATTTTCACTTTGGAAAGAACATTCTCAAAGGCTCAAAGACTTAAACAGTATTTGAAGTGTGCGGAGGCCTTGACCTTGGGTGAAGGAGGATGGCCTTGCAGCCCCCCACCTAGCCTCCACTTTCTGAGCTCAGTGGGGCATAGATCCATGACTGTTTCTGGACTTGAGCAGGGCAGGGTCACCAGGAAGTTCAAGTTGAGAAGTGAAAACTGGGCCAGGAGCCTCTCTGGGCTCATGGCCTACACAGCCTCCCTGATTGGTCACTCTGCACAGGGCATATAAAGGGCTTTAGAAGAGTTTCTTGGGAAGGCCTCGCAGCACACCCATGAGCAAGGCGGTGTCATTATACCCATCGTGTAGATAAAAAGACTGAGGTCTAAGCAGGCACAGTAAATTGCCCCAAGACAGAGCTGGGGGTTCTCCATTTCCCTCTCCCAGAAGAGTGTGTGGCAAAGCACTCCTTCCCTTGGGGTCAGATTAGGGAAGAGCAAGGAGCATTTATAAGGCCAAGACCAGAGGACCTTGGACTTCCTGTCACCAGGGAAGGAGATAGGCTCTGCCCCTAACGGTGCGTGGCATCTGTGAACACCTGTCTGCCACCAGCACTGAAGGAGACCAGCAGGCTCTGACTATAGGGAAGCCAGCGATGGGGTGGTAGAACCCACTTAGGACCTGGGGAAGGACTAGGGCCACAGATCTCAGAAGACTCACAGCTCTATAGGAAAATGGGATCAGGACAAAGAGAGACCAAAGCCAGGCCTGGAAGGGTGCCAGGCCAAGCAGGGAAGGGCAGCACCCTGAGTGCTGTCAAGGACAGGTGGGGCTGTACCTGCTCTACTCATGGTTTAACTGTCACTTGGGGTGGGGGACACGTAGGGGACTCTGGAAGAGCCATTCTGGGCCTTAGTTGGGAGGCTCTTTTGCCTCAGCCAGGACTTCCCACTGGAGGTCTGAGCAGGGAGCCTCCTGCCCAGGACTGGGCACAAAGATTGTACCGTGGGCATGAGTGGTTGATTGGGATGGTGGAGCCCAAGCTCTGGCAGTGAAAGGTGGGCCCTTTGATACTTCCAACTTTGACATGCCTTTGTGCCCCACAGGTGCCTTCCTGGTCCCCTACCTGCTCTTCATGGTCATTGCCGGGATGCCACTTTTCTACATGGAGCTGGCCCTTGGGCAGTTCAATAGGGAAGGGGCTGCTGGCGTCTGGAAGATCTGCCCCATACTGAAAGGTAATGCTTGGGAGCTGTCACCAAGCCAGCCACATTGTGTACGTGGTCCTGCCTCACTGAGACACACAGGAGTATGCACGTGCCATAGTAATTTGTGTCTTACTTTAAAGATCTATAATGACCAAGGATTTCCCTGCTCCCAGGTATGGCTGTCCTGCAATTCTTTAGTAGTGTTATTTTGTCAAGGTATTAAGATGGTATTTACAACAAAGCATCTATCTTTAGGTCTGTCATCTGCCATCCATCTGTCCATCTATCAGTCGTTTGTCTACCCATCATCTGTCTCTCTGTATTACCTATCACTCACCCACCTACCTATCCACACTGTCCTCATCGTTGTCTCTCTGTATTTGTTTGCTAGGGCTGCAGTAACAAAATACCACAAATTTGGCGGCTTAAACAACAGAGACTCAGTGTCTCACAGTGCCAAGGCTACAGGTCCAAAATCAAGGTGCAGTCAGGTTTCCCCGGCCAGTTCTGTGAGGGAGACCAATCTGGCCCCTCTTCATGGCTGGTCGGCTGTCTCCTCCCTGATCCTCTTCACACTGCATCCCTTCTGTGCATTCTTCTGTACCCAAACTCATTTTGGATGAGGGGCTATCCCAATGACCTCATTTTAAATTGATTGTATCTGTAAAGATCCCATCTTTAAATAATACATTCTAAGGTCCTGGGGGTTAGACCTTCAAAAGATGAATTTGGAGGGGGACACAGTTCAACCTACAATTCTATTAATTTATCTACCCAGCCACCCACCTATCTGTCATCTATCCATCCATCTATCATCATCTACCCATCCCTCCATCCACCTATCATCCATCCATCCATCCATCCATTCTATCTAGTATCTATCTGTCCATCCATTTATCCAGCTATAATTTAGCTATCCTTCATCCACCTATCATCTATCATCTACCCATCCATCCATCCATCCATTCTATCTAGTATCTATCTGTCCATCCATTTATCCACCTATCATTTATTTATCCATTCATCTATCATCTATCCATCATCCATCCATTCCATCTATCATCTACCCATCCATTCATTCACCTATCATCTATCTACCCATCCCTGCATCTACCTGTCTATCTTTTACCCATCCATCCATTCTGTCATCTATCTATCTGTCCATCCATCCATCCATTAATCATCTATATATCTAGTCACCACTGAGCCTTCAAGGCTGCTGGTGCCTTGTCCCAGCACCCTGAAGCCACATGCCTCATGTTGAGTACAGGTGGTCTGCCCAGTACTCCCTTCACAGGTGTTGTCCCTCCCTCCTCCTGAGAGCCCTGGGGAGGGCTGCACTGTGCTGGAGGATCAGAGAGCGTGAGTAATTCACTCTGTCACCTGGTTGTGTACAGACCAGGATTTGAGCCCAGCTCTGGGTCACATCTGCCTGCTGGGCTGATACTGCCTCCCAGAAACCAGAGGTTCAGGGAGGATTTGGGGCATTTCCTTGGGGACACATGGGAGGTGCCACTCAGACAACTGGCACTCAGGAGGTAAATGACTATTAAAAGATCAGTCTTTGGATTTTCTCAGAAGCTCTTGTGTGCTCACAAAAGTCACTATGCTTAGAAGAGAACAGAAGGCCTGGGTATCCCCAGGATGTGCCATTGACGGGTCAGGGGTTGATACTCAGGGCTGAGCCCCTGCTCCTGCCTTAGTGGCGGAGACAGATGGCATCTCATAGCTGCTGGGTCAGGCTCTAGGAAGGAGAAAATCTCCCTCACAGCAGCAGGAGTGCTAAGACTGGCCAGGTATTAGAGTGTAGTTTGTTCTTCTGGCCTACTTGCTGAGCCTTAGGCTTTAGTAATCTTTCCTAGGCTTCGTGATTCACTGCCCCACACTAAAATGGAACTGCAAAAAGAAAGACCTACACACACACACACCCAGCCCACACACACCTGCAGAGTGAGAGAAGCATCATGGTGGGATCTGACAGTAGAAGCGAGACCCAGAGGAATCGCTGGAAACTCATCTCTGTCACTGTTATAGTTCCCAGAAGATGAGTGCAGCAGCTCCTGAACACCCAGGCATCTCTGCAGAGCCAGGTGCACATGTCACATGGGCATTGTGTTGTCTGTCCATGAGCACAGCACTGACTTGGTCAAAGTCAGTACGCCCAAACTAACAGTTCAAGACACAAGTGAATGAATCAAGTCCTACCAGGCTCTGCCCAGAAGCACTTATGTGTTTCTGGGAGTGGACACTGCTTCTGAGGCTGGCCTTGAGCTGGGTGAGCTCATTCTGTGGTTTGTACCATATTTACATATTTACATAGCATCTGTGATTCGGAGGCTTGACTGCACTAAACCTGAGACAGAGCTTCCACCCTCACCCGGAGGATGTGTTCAGAAGTCAGCCTCTTGCTTTGGTGCAGGTGGTGGCCATGCCAAATTTTGCTTTGCTGGGTTTTCAAGAGTCGCCCCCTTCAAGTCTCTCACACGACATGACCCTGTGCTCCCACCCACTGCTAGTGAGCCTCATGTTGGATTGAATGAAGTGCAGCTCTTATGTACAGGAATTGGACACAGAAGAAAGAGGAGGGAGATTCACACCCAGAACCTGTGGTCAGTGACAAAAGCTAATGTCCACCCTCACATCGTGCCATAGAAAGAGTGTTCACCAGAGTTGCCAGCAGGGGCTGTTACGATGCAATTGAGGAAATGTCAGTAAGTGACTACCAAGATCTTCAGAGCCCCACGTGATGCTAATGAACTTACCTTGGCTAGTAAACAGCGTCTGACTTGAGTCGACCAGCAGACCTCGTCACAGGGAGATGCAGACTGCGGGTTAGGGTGCTCCCCATGTCCTGGCATGGCCCTGGTCGCCACTTGGCTCAGTTCCTGCACCCACACCTTTGCATCCTGCTGGCTTTCCACCTGGAAACTAGCCCAGGAGGAGGGCCGTGAGGGGGCAGAGCGTGGCCTTGGGAAGGGATCACCTCATAACAGTGACTGAGGAAAACCGGAAATCCCAGGATGTGAACTGCGTAGCCTTGGCGTCTCTCTGTAAAAGGGAGAGGTGAATAATCCATGCCAGAAAACCAGATTTGTTTTCAAGGAAGAGGTATCTTGAACAGCTCAATACCAGCAGAGCCACAGTCCCAGCAGGTACTTCACTATTTGTCCTGGCGCCCACAGATGCTGGCTTGTCAGGGAGGGCTGCTCCCTAAGTCAGACAGAGCAAAGCCCACACTTTCCTGGGGGACCCAATGCCGGTGCCTCCACTTTTTTCTGCATTTCTTAAAAAAATCATTTATAAAGTTGGAAAGATTGTATTTCCATGTCTCAGTAAATAGGAATACTACATAGTAAACTAAGACATCACTTAAAATGCCCAAGGTGATGACGAGGAAATTGAAGGCTCTGGTTCCTCAGAGGGGGCTGGCACACCATGCCCCACAGAGGTCCTCCTGGGAAACAGCCCAGCTCTTGGGGGCCTATCTCCCGTCTCTCCTGAGGACCTGGTGCCACCCCCTGCTTGTTGCTGGAGCTAAGACTCAACTTCCAGAACTTGGCAGCAAAGCCCATGGGAAGGGCCAGCAGCTTCAAAGACCCTGACCCACTGAGGGTTCCCTGTGCTAACTCTCCAGGGCCCCTCAGGGTGGGCAGGGCCACTAGAGTCACTGCAGGTCCCTGGGTCCCAGGGAAGAGGTTTCCTTAAATGCTGTCTTCACCCTGCCCTACTGTCTCTGTCTCTCTCTGGGTCTGTCTCATTCCCTGTCTCTCTCTCTGTCTTTCTCTCACTGTCTCTCTCTGTCTCTTTGTCTCATCCTCTCTCCTTTTCTCTCTTTGCCTCTCTGTCTCTCTCTGGTTTGAGTGCACACACATGCACACGTGTACACATACCATGCACGCACACACACCCCCCACAAGCAGACCCTCAAGACACCCATACCAACAGAAGAGGCATTCTATCCAGTCTTTCTTCAGAAAGCCCTGCCAGTGACTCTTAAAAGGAATGGAGGGGGCTCCATCAGAGGGTGTTCTCTTTGCTGGAGTTCCTGGAATTTATACATTTGTTTGTGATCTGTCTCCTGAAGCCAGCTTGTGGGTGCCCTGGAGTGTGCTGGCTCCTGGGATGGTAGAGAAGGGTCGAGCACTGATTTTTATAGGCTATCTGCTTAATTGCCAAAGACAAAGCCTGCTTCATCTATGCTGTAGAGATACCACCACCCTATTATATGGAATAGAAAATATTTCATAACATTGTATAGTCAATATTCTAGTGTGATTTATCCAACTCTCCCTCTTTTTAAAAAAGATTTTAAGGGACAAGCAGGATGGCTCACACCTGTAATCCTATTACTCTGGGTGGTTGAGAAGGGGGATCCCTTGAGCTCAGGAGTTCAAGACCAGCCTCAGGAAGGCTGAGATCCTGTGAGATCCTGTCTCTACTAAAAACAGAAAGATTAGCTAGGTGTTGTGGCAGCGCCTATAGTCCCAGCTACTTGGGAGGCTGAGGCAGGAGGATTGCTTAAGCCTGGGAGTGTGAGCTTCCTGTGAGTGAGGCTGACACTACAGCATTCTGCCCAGGGCGACAGAGTAAGACAGTCTAAAAATTAAAATAAAATAAATAAAAATAAATTTAAGTGACTTAAAGCAAAACAACAAATTATGCACAAGGTTAATATAAATAAATACTAAGAAAAATAAAAATTAACATTAAGAACAATGACTGAAATTCACATTTATCCCTGAGCCTCCTGGGAGTCAGAAGATGTGTCTGGTATATTATGTTTGGGAACATAGAAAGGAGTAAACCCACAGCCTCCTTGGGGGAACAGTTTCCCATGGTGCCAAATGATGGCAGGAATGTGTCAGGGGAAGCTTTGTTTGAGCCTGTGGTGGTATGATGAACAGTGATCACCAGAACGTTCTTATTGCCGGTGGAAAGGTGGGTTTTGTGGAGCTGATCCTTATATGGCTTACAGTGGAACACGGTGAAGTTGGCTGGTTGGTGAGGGGCCCTGCTTCAGTGGGTCAGGACAGTGGCACTGCCTTCCAGAAGGGCAGAGCCTGGAGGGTCCAAAGGAACACCTTTGGGGGAACCACTCCCTCTCCCAGGCGTGTGAGGCAGCTGGACAGCATGGACAGCAGCAAGCGGGAGGGGTGCTCTTGGATGGGGTGTGCTGGAGCTGTTGTGCCATGGTCAGGGCAAAGCTATGTGCTCTGGGAGCCACATCAGCCAGTGGTGGCCTTGTTACTCTGCTGTGAAGGTCAAGAGACCAAGACTGCCGTGGCTCTGGAAGGAGCAGGAGCAAAGTCAGCTCTCCCTTCAGACTTTGGATTTGGAGCCACTCTAGTGTTTGATCAAAGGCTTTTATGAAATCCCAAAATTGCAAGTGAAAGACTTGATTTACAAAGTTTAACCTTGAAAAGTTTTCAAAGCCGGCATCCACAGTCAGCCCACCACCAGATAAAAGCTCCAGTGGTGGACTTTAGGACACCACGGCTTCCCAACACAGCCGCCAGGCACCATGGCTTCCTAACATGGCTGTCCCAGCCTCTCTCCTAAGAAACTTGGTAAAGAGAAATGTAATATAGAAGTATTTAACATTGATCAATTCTGCATTGGAGGAGGCCTTTCAAAAGAAACAATTTTGGTTTAATCATTGCTGCTACTGAGCATGTTTTCCAGGAGGGATTACATATTCTCCTCATCCTAGGTCTATTTAACATGAATATATTTTTGTGCCTTCTTTTTGCTTTTAGGGTAGAAAGGAACTTTAATGAGGGCCAAGAGCATGAAAACAGCTTCTCCTAAGGGTTAAGACCCAAGCTGCTTCCTGCAAAGTTACCAGATGGCAGGTCCCTGCCTGGCCACAAGCAGGCAAGACAGGGCATAGTGCCTCAGCAGGCTTTAATCGAGTAAATTAAAGGTGTATCTCAAACTAGTCGTATCAGCAAAGCTGAGAAGGAATGTTGAAATGAAAAGAATTCTATGCAGAGCTTAGTAAAGAGAATCATAAAGCCAGACATGATGGTACCTGTCCAGCACTCAGCAAGGAGGAGCTCCCTGGCGGAGAGGCCTTCTGCCCACTGTCAGGATGACACAGCCCCACAGACTGCTTCTGAGAGTTCTGCTCCAGCTCCCCAGAAGCTGTCCAATAACTGATCCCAAGTTCCAGGTGTTGTGATCCTGGAAAGGGCACTCTAAAAGACAGCCCTAGTCATGGATGGCTCTGGGTGGTCCCTGAAAGTCTGATGTGTCCCCTGGGAGATCCTGGATAACCACACTTGGTTCTAGGTGGCCCCTGATAGTCATGTAAGGGTCTTGGGTGTCCCAAGAGAGCCCCGGATGGTTTCATATGCCCTGGATGACTCTAGGAAATTCTGGATGGTCATGTCCGACCCTGAGAGACCCCAGATGGTCATGCACAGTCTGAATGACCTTGTGTGGCTCTAGGTGGCCATGTAAACCAGAGGAGTGGGAGGCTTGAGTATCTATGGATGGCTCTGGATGACCCTGGCTGACTCTGGGTGGGACTGGATAGCTTCATGGGAATGTGGGTGGCCCTGGATGACTTTGGATGGCCCTGTGTGACCCTGGGTGGCCCTGGATTACCCTGAGGGACTTTGAGTCATCATGGGTACTATTGATGGTCCTGAATGAGCCTGGGAGGCTGCAGATGGCCATAGAGGACTCAAGTTGTCCCTTAGTGATTATTGGTGACCCTGGAGAGCTCTAGAAGTTGCTGGGTATTCCTGGGTAATCCTGGTTGATCTTCATTAGTCCTAATGGCATAAGTGTTCCTAAATGGCCCTGGGATGACCCTGGATGGCCAAGATGGCTGTGGATGAGTCTGAGGCTTCACAGGGGCTGGTGGCTCTGGATGACCTGGCTTGGGTTGCCCTGAGTGACCCTCAGTGACCCTGAGTGCCTAAAGTTGATGGATAGTGTGGACAGCTGCTCCTTACCCCACACAACTGTGGGTGGTCTTGGTGTACCGGAGTGGTCCTGGATGGCCCTAGTGACCTTAGGTATATGCGGGTGGTCCCAGATCCCCTGGAATGGCCCTGGATGTCCCCTAAAGACACTGTGGATGTAGGTGGCTTCAGGGGACGGGCAGCTCCTTCTCTGATGGCAGCATGAAGCCTGGCACCAGCCCTCTGTACCTTCACCTGTGAGTTTCACGATATTGCCAGAGTTCGGGCCATGGGGGAGCTGTGCCCAGGGCGGAGGTGGCCCCGAGCGGGAGGCAGGCGGCGGCTGCTGACGGTGGCTCTGTGCTGGCGTCTGCCAGGTGTGGGCTTCACGGTCATCCTCATCTCGCTGTACGTGGGCTTCTTCTACAACGTCATTATCGCCTGGGCGCTGCACTACCTCTTCTCCTCCTTTGCTGCGGAGCTGCCCTGGACCCACTGTAACAACACCTGGAACAGCCCAGCCTGCTCAGATGCACACCTCGGCAACGCCAGCGGTGACCCGGGCCTCAACAGCACCTTTGGGACCACGCCTGCCGCCGAGTACTTTGAGTAAGTGGCCATCAGGAATGGGAGAGTTGGAGGGCCAGGTGCCCAGGGTAGCCCTAGGCCAGCCACCTGTCCACTGGCACCTCCCAAGGGTATGGAAAGGACAGTGCCTGGCCTAGCCCCACCCATCCCTGCAATCACAGGTTGGTGGTCTCAACCTGTGATTGGATGTCCTTAGCAGGGCAGGCCCCACTATGCCTTCCTGCTCCCAGCAGCGGTCTGAGGAGGGAGGAGCCTCATGGGCCCTGTATCCACTTTGTTCACCCCCTTCTTCACCAGGGGGCCTGGCCCACTCATCCATGGTATCCTGGCTACTCCTGGAATCCAGAAGTGCACGTGACCATGTGTGCATAAGTGTGTGCATGATGTGTGTTTGTGTGGTGTGTGTGGGCTATATATGAGAAACACTCCTGTGAGAAGCCATGCTCTGTCCCAAGGCTGAGCCTTCCCAGATGATTTCCAGCTTGAGTTTACCCTGGGCTGAGTTAACTAATTGTAATTATGGAGACACAAATTTGCAAAGGTGCGGGGGACATGCCAGGCAGAGCTGGGGCACCTGCCGAGTGTGTGAGCACTGCAGGCCCTGGTACTCACCTGCCTCATGCGGGAGCTCCACCATGGAGGAGGGGAATATCTTAAAATGCTGTATTTATCTCAGAGATGAGAGAAGGGAACTTTCAGCAATACCCATCCCCTCAAGTCCAAAATGCCACATTGGCTGTGATGCTGCTTGCTGAGGGCCTGGACTTGCCTAGTTAGGTGTATTTTCTTCACACATATATGTACAAATGAGTCTACTTACAACTTAGAAAAAGGAATTGTGACAAAAGTAAAATAATTCAAGTTTTAATATCAAGCAGGCACATTTGCAAAATTTGTTTTGAGTTAGAAAACAGTGAGCTTAAAAGCAAAGAAAGTGTCTTGGGGGGAGTGGAGACTCCCTAGCCTTTGCTGGGTACAAGGTCTTTCCCCAGGACTCTGGTCTCACTGTACAACATAACCTTTGGGGCGAGCAGCCTCCCAGAGGGCTGGTTTCTCTGGTCATTGTTCACAGAGGTCTTTCCTGAGAGGAGAGCACCTTGCCCAGCCTGGAGGTCTTGTCAGAGAGGGTGAGAGGGTCCTGTGCAAGGGATGGCAGAGGGCCTCAGGGAGGGGCATGCTGGGCCAGGTGCCACCCAGAGCGAGTGGAGGACTCCTACCTCATGTGGCCTCCAGTCAAGTGTCTGAAATCTAGTTGTCTTGCTATGCCATATCATGGCCAGGAGTGGAAGCTCTCACCCCTTCCACACCAGTGAGTCCCCACTAGCAGGACGAGGACCTCCCCCTCTCAGGGCCCCCTCTCTTATCTTGGCCTTGCTGGGGTCCCCTTCTCAGAGAGGGCAGGTGTCTGCATGCTATTATTGCTCAGCATCTGCTCAGCCTCCACCCTGTAAATGACCCTGGGACTGTCCTCAGGCCAGCAGCAGGTGCCAGAGTGACTCTGCACCTTCCTTCTAGTTTCTGTAGCTCCTTTTCTTCAAAGACTCAAGCTGCCCATTCCCTCCCCAGCTCCAAAAGAGCAGGGGTGCTGGGGCAGGGGCAGGGCTGGGCAGCCTCCCAGCTCTCTGGTCCTATCTGCCCAGACCCTTCCTGCCATTATAAGTGGAGCGGGACAGGTCTCTGGACATGGTCAGCCATCCGGTTCCAGTTCTGGGTGGGCAGCAGCCCCTTCAAGACCCCTGGGCTTCCCTCCCAGGCGCGGTGTGCTGCATGTCCACCAAAGCCACGGCATTGACGACCTAGGCCCTCCGCGGTGGCAGCTCACAGCCTGCCTGGTGCTGGTCATCGTCCTTCTCTACTTCAGCCTGTGGAAGGGAGTGAAGACCTCGGGGAAGGTGAGGCTCCTGTGAACCTGGGGCCACCAAGTGGATACCTGGCTGTGGTTGGGTTGGGGTGAACATGTGGCTGTGGCTGGGCTTGATGTGGACGTGGGACTGTTTGGGGAAAGGACAGTAACAGGGAAAGCACCCACAGAAAAATGTTCCTAGCAGGAAGACAGCCCAGGATACTTTTTTTTGCTGATGAAAATACTTTTGTTGTTGTCTGGGCATCTGAACCAATTCTGAACAAAATGTGTCTGTTAGTTGCAATGATGTGTGTGGTGTGGTGTAGGCACAGGGGGCCCTCCCTATAATGACACCACAGGGTCCATCCTTACATGTGAAGTGCCCATCTGCATACAGTGTGAATCACTTGTATCCATTCATCAGAGGTTCAGCCCTTCTACCCATTTGGACAGACCAAATGCAGAGAAGGAATGTTCTTTTCTTACCATATTAAACCTGGGAGGTGTGTGAGACCGACAGCATCTAACACCTCACTGCAGTGAGCCCTTGCTGTCTGTCAAGTTGGTGTCCCATGAAGTGTTCAAGGCATTGGGCTTCTAGGCCAGAGGGCCTCTCACTTTAGAACAAGCCATCAAGGTGACCTTGTGTTTATTTGATGCTGGCATCTACCAAGGGTCCCACTAGGGCTGCCCCATGCAACCCAGTGACGCAGCCCTCTTCCTAGGTTGTGTGGATCACGGCCACCATGCCATACGTGGTGCTCACTGCCCTGCTACTGCGTGGGGTCACCCTCCCTGGGGCCATCGATGGCATCAGAGCATACCTGAGTGTGGACTTCCATCGGCTCTGCGAGGCGTCTGTGAGTATACCCCACTCCTCACTCTGCAGTCCCTGTCCTTGTATCCCCAGGAAGGACATCCCACAGCAGCAGCTTGGTGGGATCTTTCTTTCACTCTGTGAATTCAACAGGTGCAGGCTGGTATGCTCACCTGTGCACTTGACCTGCCCAGTGGAGTCACCGTCTAGTTGGGAAGAGGGTCATGTGTGAGCATAGTGGGAGGCTGAGTGGACACAGAATAAGGAGGTCTGAGGGGGCATCCCATCTTCCCATCCCACCTCCACCTCTGCCCTGCCTGTTGCTTCCTGGAGGGTATCTTTGAGTCCCACTGCTGGCCCAGAGCAGCCTGCACCCCAGGGTGTCACTGCTCATGCAAACAGTGGCCTCTCAAGTGGCTCCATGTCCACTGTCCAACAGGGCTCAAATGTGAGCTGCTGGAACCAGGCTCTCACTAAGAAACCAAACTTGGGGTGTCCACTGATGGCCAGGGCATTATCTGAGTCACATCAGATCAAAAGCCAAGCCCCGAGTTGGCTGCAGGATTCTTTAACAAAGGTAGAAATGACTGCAGTTAAAATATTGGGGGAGTCCTCATAGAATAGGGAAGCCTAATGGACCACTGGGGACCTCACAAGAGAGGGAAAAGAAGGCCAGAGACAGAAGTGTCACTGACAGAGGCAGTGTGGTGGGAACGGCAGCTGTCATGGGGTCATACAGTGGGCATCCAGGTCTCTTAGGTGGGGGCTAGGCCAGGAAGCCCTTTGGAAAGTAGTTGACTGGTATAGACAGGTGGTATGGACAGTCAGATTTGTGGATATCAGAAAGGCATGCCATGAGGTGGACATGTGAGGCACTGGGGGAGAGAGAGCCAGGCATGGCCCCAGGCCCCAGGAGGTCCAAGGGCAGGCCAGGCAGGTGCAGAGAGAGGACAGCCTGGACACAGCACCCATGAGGCAGCAGGGGCGGCAGGGTGGGGAGCAGTCTGGATGCTGACAGGGAGGCTCGTGTGGCTACGGGAGGCCTAGTGGGGTAGCAGGAGGCATGTGTCCCATGGGAGCTGAGGGCCAGGAAGAAGTTTAAGGAAAGGTGGCAAAGTCAGCCGTGTCTGGGATCCTAGGGATGGTGACACACAGCAGAGGGGGAACATGCAGGAGGGTGCAGGGCACAGAATCAAAGAAAAATGAGACGGGGCAATGTGGAGCCTGGAGCTTCAGCCAGGAGGAGCCAGCAGCACCCTGGAAGGAAGCGAAACAGATGCCAATGCAGGTGGAGGGTGGTCAGCACAGTAGGGCAGGGGACAAGGATTGGGGGAGCTGGACAGAAGAGGCAGGATGGACAGAGGAACAGACAGAGGGATGATAGGGAGGTAGAGAGAATTAGTAGACAGGATAGACAGATAATTGATAGATGAGATAGACTATATGGATGATAGGCATATAGGTGATGGGTAGAGAGGTGATCATTGATACATGATAGGCAGGTGATAGGCCGACAGGTACATGGCAGGTAATAAATGGATAATTGATTATTGATATTAGAGATGATGGATAGATGGATGGGCAGGTGGGGAGGAGAGGGCAGGAGAGAGAAGGGAACAAAGGATGACCCCAGATGTCCACAGGGCAGGTGCACTCAGTCAGGCCCGGAGAGACAGCTGTTGGTGCTAGGTCCCAGGGACAGTGTCAAGCAGAGGCCTAACTGTGGCCCGGATGGGCACTCAACCAGGCAAGGCCTGAGCAGGAGATAGTCACTCCCAAAATATCTGATCCTGCCTCTAGTCACCTGGCCAGGTGAGCAGGCCAATGGCTAGCAGGGGGACCCACAGGACAGCAAGGCAGGAGGCCACTGCTATAGCCATGACCTCTTGGCCTGACCAGCTGCCCTTGAACACACTGTCCCTGGTGATGGTGGGCCCTGAGGACCTAGACATGGTGCCCTGAGGACAGAGGAGCCACTGCCTCCCTGCAGCCAGCTGTCACCCCAACCCATGCCTCAGCAGTATGTACCTCCCAAGCTCAGGCTGGTTCCCCAGATGCCCTAAAGCCACCTAGTCTACCCAGTAGGACCTTTTGCTCTTGCTGCCTCAATGTCCTGGCCTGCCCTGTCCTGCCCTGCCCTGAGAGGTTGTGAATGACTCTTAAAAAAACCACGTTTGTGTAACTGTTGCCTGCACTATGCCCCTTCCTGTCTGCGTTCAGAGTGACTGGCGTGTCCTCTCTGAGCCAGGCAAGCTCAGCACGGGTATCTGAGGCAGGATTGGCTCACAGTCATCCTGGTGGCTGTCCACTCGTGTGTTTGCATCCCCTGGGAAAATAAAGCGGGTGCTGGTGGGTGTGCAACTGCTAGAGGTGTCACCCAGTGAGTGACCTGTGGCAATGGCCATCAGGGCATGTGGAACCCTGAGCAAGAGAGGATGGGGCAATGGGAAGAAAGGCTGTGTCCTCACAGAGAAAGGGATGCTGAGGATTGTGGGCTCCCTGGCCTCTGGTCGCATGGAGTTGCTGCACTGGTGTTCTGTGATGTAATATATGCACAAGACGCAGCCTCCTTTGTGGCGTGCTCTTTCCAGCCAGGGCACAGGAAGGGACATCCCTGAGACTGTATGTGCCATGGTCATGTTGTCAGCACCACAGGCTGGTGGAAGCTGAGGTTGAGTGCAGGCCCATGGTAGGAGTGCAGCGTCTGGCCAGGGTGGGGAGTATGGGCCAGGCTGCCATTCGCACAACTGCCTGTGACAGCTGCAGCTCACTCAGACTGTGCTCCCTGCGATTAGGCCTGACCACCTTGCTCTGCCCGCTGTGGCTCCCGGCAGGTCTGGATTGATGCTGCCACCCAGGTTTGCTTCTCACTGGGTGTCGGGTTTGGGGTGCTGATCGCCTTCTCCAGTTACAACAAGTTCACCAACAACTGCTACAGGTGAGCCTGGCACTGTTGCTGGGGAGAGGGGGGCGCTCATTGGGGTGGGAGTATAACATGTCCCTGGGTGAACAGAGGGAAAGACAATCTGAGCCCACAAAACCTCCAGGTGCACAGCTTCTGAAACAGAAGTTACGGTGGGGCAGCAACCAGCAGAAAGTTTCCACTTCAAGCAAGGTCATGAAGTGTGTGAGGGTGTTGCCCCCCAGAGAAACTGTCTTACACTCAACTAGTGTCACTACTCAGGTCCCCCAGAGTCACTATACAGTGCAGCTGCCCCCTCCCTCTGTGAGGACACAGCCTTTCTACCCACAGCCCCCATCCTCTCTTGCTTAGGGTTCCACATGCCCTGATGGCCGGTGCCACTGGCTGGCCCCTGAAGCCACAGGCCCCAAAATCCTCCTGAAAATAGAAACATAATTTAATCTGGGACCTAATTTCTTTGACCTTTATGGGTTTGTGTGCTTTTTCTCTCACATCATGAGGGTAAAAACATGGAAAAAATTCAAAGACTATGCACAGAAAATGTCCAGTCAGGCCCCCACAGGGAGGGCCACAGACAGTCCTGCCTAGAGCCTGCCCTGTGCCCACCTGGGCCTGGGAACTCTGCACACAAAGTACATGGTCCCTCCACTGCAGCAATGGGCCTTGAGATCCCCCCAGGGGAGGAGAGGGGGCTGGTCTCTTGGCCACCAGGCCTTCCTGGCTCCACCCTCACTGGCCCCAAGCCTTTGGATCGCTCAGACTCAGGAAGCTCTGGAAAAACACAGCACCTGGGGCCCCACAAGACCTGCCCAGTCAGGGTTTCTAGGGTGGTCCTGCGAGGCATGTGCTCCTCTCTGTTACAGGTGCCCTGGCTGGCAGCCTTCAGCAAGGCAGTGGGCACCTGATACAGGGCCAGCAGGGCAGGCTGGGAGCCTCTGTTCTGCCCTCCCTTTGCCCTCTGGTGCCAGGGGCCTCAGGCAGCTCTGTGGGGTCCAGGGTGACCCAAGGACAGCCTCTGCAGGCTGCTGGAGGCAAGGGGCCCTGCAAAGCCCTCTCCGCCCTCTAGACACAGCAAATCAGGAATAATAACTGGGAAATTGCAGCTGCCGCAGCTCCACTGGGCACGGGAACAGCCTGTCTTGTTCTTGCAGAGACGCGCTTGTCACCACCTCCATCAATTCCCTGACGAGCTTCTCCTCCGGCTTCGTGGTCTTCTCTTTCCTGGGGTACATGGCGCAGAAGCATAGTGTACCCATTGGGGATGTGGCCAAGGATGGTGAGCTTCTCCTGCCACACCCTGGCCCCTGGTGCTGGCCACCAGGCTCTGGACAGCATCTTCCCTGCAAGATGAGGGTAGCGTACCAGGCCGGGCTGCCCACAAAGCTACTGGCCTGCATGATGGACTGTGCATGCCCAGTGCCACCAGCCAGCCCTGTGCAGTAGGGACCCCGGCAACCCCAGTTCCCTCCCTGCCCTGCCCCTGTCAGGACCCTCCATGTCAACCAGGGAAGCCTTGTGCCCAAATGCACCTGAATTGGAGCCTTTGCCCCTCAGCCTGCTCCCTACATGCCTTTGATGTATGTCTGCAGTGCGGAGGGATGTACAGTACAGGGAAGAGATGGGCCAAGCTGGTCCAGACAACATGTGAGGGCAGGACTGGAAAGCTCTGGGCTTCAGTATGGCCCTCCAACAAGACGCTGGTTCTTTCTGATGGCAGCAGTTGTCAAAACATCTGTTCAAAGCCTCTTCCCAGTGAAGGTACAGAGACTGTGGCATACTGACCTGTGGTTTGGGTAATACTTGGAGACACCCCCGAGGTCTCCGGCACAGGGTGTTCCCACCTGCCTTCTGGCCTACGTGAGACTCAGGGACTGCAGAGGGCACGGGGCTTGGGAAGGTGCAGGTGACAAGAGAGGAAGCCTCCACCTCTGTGGGGAGTGCATCAGGCAGGAGAGAACCAGGAGTCAAGGGCTGGGGGCAAGGGCCGCAGGGCACCTGGATGGAAAGTTGTAGCATTGGCAGCCCTAAAGTTGTAGCATTCTGTCAGCTCAGAACTCTGGGGTCCCCAGAGATCGTGTGGTGTCCTACCAGCCAGGGAGCCCCTCACCTGCCTCTATGGCTACTCTGTAGGTGAGACTGATCCCCTGGGTCAGAGGGGGGCTCCTCATCCTGTGTCCCCTCCTGGCTTCCTCTGGATGCCCCTCCTGGGAGCTACTTTTGCAGGCGACGATTGCTGCTCAGACGAATGCTGCCCCTATTGAATGTGGTTATCATTGCCCACCGTAGCTGTGCCTGGATTGGGTGGAGGGTCAGCAGCAACAGCCCAGCTCTGCCTGAGCCAGACATGAGGCCACAGTCAGCCTCCACTGCTGCCCTGAGCCCTTGGAGAGCTGGGTGCTCGGTTCTTACTCTGCAAGTAGGAAGCAGGCACGGGGACCTTAAGGCCCCTCCAACCCTGGCAGGAAGAAGGGGCCGGCCTTGCAGCTCAGGGCACATTTCGTAAGTCTGTGCCCTGTCCTCTACGAAGAAAATTCAATAAAGGCAAGAAAGGTAACAGAATGCAAATGAATACAGCACAGTGAAATTTGCTCATTGCTGCATTTATGCAATTTCACATTCTTTTTGCCCTTTATTATGATAAATAGCAATAGCTTGCAAAAACCTCTATTAACCCCTGAAAATAAAGTTGAATGTCTTCTATGCATTTCATGACAAGCAAAGTAAATGTCATTTATAGCCTTAATTCTCCAGAAAACAGGGTGAAATGTTAACTCAAGTACAGAAATGAAAGGCAAGAATATTGACATTACGTTCGGCTGAGCTGATGAATATCTTCCCAGGTTGGTGGCTTATGGCATATAAACCTAGGGGCATCTCAAACAAGCCTGCCCCCACAAGTCAAAAACTGCACCTGGCCAAGGGGCATCTAGGTACTGGGGAGATCCCACATCTGACCTGGATCGGTGCTGATAGTACAGCCTGTGAAAGACTTTTGGGAGATGGACTCTGCTCTGGTCTTTGTTTGATCTTTAAAAAGTTTGGTGAGTGCCAGTTCGTGTGGGCTGGATGCAGACAGAGACAGTTGCATCTCCGTGGGCAGACTCAGTGCAGGCCGCTAGTGAGCAGGGTGCACATCCCACAGGGGAGCTGAGGAAGCTCTCCTGTCACCACCCATGGGGATGTTTTCACTTTGGGATCATTTGAGACCAAATTGTGTGGCATCTGTCTGTGTGGCTACCTCCCATGCCTGTGCCCTGCGCCTCTGGTCTTTCCACAAGGAAGCTTGTGTAGATCCCAGGTGAGCCTGGTCATGGACCCCTCGTCAGTGCTGCCCCTCAGTCCGTGTGCCCACAGTGTGTTGGGGTAAAGGGGCAGCAGATTTGTCTCTTTTAAGCCCCCATTGGGCCCCTGCTATCTCAGGCATTGTCTCAGTCAGGATGAGTGGCCCCTCTGAGCCCCTGGGGACTCCAGCAATGGGGGCATCCAGGGTCCAAGGCAGGACAGTGGGTGATATGACCACACACTCACTGCCAACCACTAGTTGGAAAGGAAGCCCAGAGTGGCCTTGAGGTGAGGGAGACAAGAGGGGTCGGTTTTCCTATGAGCCTGAATGCAGAGGTCAAGAATGTGCACCTGATGTATGGCTGGTCCTGGAGAAAGGCTACAGGCGGAGAGTGGTCTCATGATATGCCCTGGGGAAACCAGCCAGTGTTGTCGGCGGGCATTACCTGCGTTGAAGGACAGGGGGATGGCCCCTCCTCCCAGCACCTGCACAGCCCACATGGACACATGTGATCTGGGGGAGCAGGCTGCTGGGTTGGTGGTCTCTGGGCCCCTGTGTTTATCATGCTGGCAGAAAAGAAGGAGGAAAACTGCAGGGAAGCCCACCCCAGCACAGCCCCGGATGGAGGCAGTGGGTGGGGCGGGGCACAGTGGGTGCCAAGGCAAGTGGCTGTGCCCTGTTTCAGGTCCAGGGCTGATCTTCGTCATCTACCCAGAGGCCATCGCCACACTGCCGCTGTCCTCAGCCTGGGCTGTGGTTTTCTTCATCATGCTGCTGACCCTGGGCATCGACAGTGCCGTGAGTCACCCATGGCCAGCCCTGTCCCTGGCAGTCAGAGTCACTTTCAGCCTGCTCCGTGGGGCACCTCCCAGGGCTGAGCAGACCCCGGGATGCTTAGCAATGGTCTCAAACTTCATGAGCTTGGTGCAGAGCCACACAGGACTCAAGCCAAACCCCGCTCAAGGGCCCCTTCTAGGGTCTGGGTCAGCCCACCCATTCGCTCTCTGGGGCATCAGTGCAATTGCCCCAACCGCCTACAGGCTCTGGGGATACACACAGTGGGCCTGATGTACAGCCGGGACAGGAACCTAGCAGTTGTCCCTTCTATGTCTTGCAGATGGGCGGAATGGAGTCGGTGATCACCGGGCTCGTGGATGAATTCCAGCTGCTGCACAGACACCGGGAGCTCTTCACGCTCTTCATCGTCCTGGCAACCTTCCTCCTCTCCCTGTTCTGTGTCACCAATGTACGTGCTGCTACCTGAGCTTACCAGTCCACAACACAGTGGCCTGGCCAAGCATTTCTAGAAAGCTGCGCACTTATCCCCACCTCAAAAAATGGCTTGCAACAAGGTGGCCAAGCCCATCTGGATCTTAGGCTCAGAGTTACTTCAGCACGGGGACAGCTCCCTCAGGAGGGCAAGGCTGAAACCATGTCCCTGGGATTTGTAGGCTAGGGGACTCAGGGTAGGCATAGGAGGCTGGGAGGATACAGAGCCTCTGGGGTCTGAGAGGGTGCAGAGCCTTGGGGGGCTGGGGGGGGGGACAGAGCCCGAGAGGGCTGGGAGGGAATAGACCCTAGGGGGCTTAGAGGGGACGAAGCCTGGGGTCTGGGCCACCGCCCCTCTGAGGGCAGCATTTGGCTGCTGCTGTGTGTCTAATGGCCCTAGAGCCCTGGGGAAGAGGGATTCGCTTCTGCTTTGTATTTGTGGATTGACTTTTAGCAACTAAAACCACATTTTACCGAGAGTAAGGCAGCCGTGTCTGTGGGCAGAGCCCTCCATGGTGTCTCTGTGCAGTCCAGCAGTGTCTCTCTCTCCAGGGGGGCATCTATGTCTTCACACTCCTGGACCACTTCGCGGCCGGCACGTCCATCCTCTTTGGGGTGCTCATCGAAGCCATTGGGGTGGCCTGGTTCTATGGTAAGTCCATGGAAGGACCAACCAAGCTGAGTCCTCTCGCTCTGTGGCCGTGCTGCTCTCTCTCGGGCAAACCCACCTCCCAAGAGGCGCATTTTAGCCCACAAGGGGGTTAGAGGTTTGCCCAGGGGCTGAGATGCTGTGGCCTCCCCTGCACTGGAGAGACCTGTGAGCCTGTCCCCCCTGGGGCCGTGTCAGAGAAGCTGCTGACTCAGGTATTGTACCCTGAGGGTCATGGCTCCACGGTGCCGTCATGGATATGCAAGGTGACCAGCATCCCAGGCCACCAGCCCACTGGCCTCTCCACGTATGAGACTGTGAACCCTCAGAGGCCAAGGTCACAGGCCACCTGCTGCCACTACTATGGGTATTAGTTGTTGTGTTCTGGGGTGTCCAAGTATACTTCAGACAACAATGGGAACCCCAAGCTGGGAGTAGGTCTTCCCTTTCCCTGGCTAGGTGCTGACCTAGCCAGTTGTCATACCTCGATTTCTCTCAGTATTCTCTTCTGAAAATGGGTCACAGTGCTGGCTCAGCTCACCTGGTATGTCTCTCAGAGAGTTAGTGGTTTCTCTATGAACACATGTAGCCAGCAGAAGGGCCGCAAACCCCAGTCCCAGAGGAATACAGGCCAGCTGTCCTGCATTTACAGGGCCACTCTCTCTACCTCTGAGCTGTGGAATTATAACCTGGGAAAAACACCCTGGCTCTGGGGGTCTCAACCTGACAAACTGCTCATATTCCAAGAACATTTTTTCAAGTGCAGTAAACTCTCCATAGGTTAACCACCCAAGGGACTATAAGAAACTGGTCATCATGCAGAGGTGGTCAGTGTAAGGAACTAGGCCTACTGTCCTGATATGCACATGTGGTGTGTGTCTGGTCAACTTAAAGAGGCAGTCAGCATAGGGAGGCTCTCACTGTAAGGAGGTGGTCAGTATAGGGAGGTGGTCAGTGCAGCAGGGAGGTAGTCAGTGTAGGGAGGTGGTCAGTGTAGGGAGGTGGTCAGTGTAGCAGGGAGGTAATCAGTGTAGGGAGGTGGTTAGGGTAGGGAGGTGGTCAGTGTAAGGAGGTGGTCAGTGTAGGGAGGTGGTCAGAGCAGCAGGGAGGTAGTCAGTGTAGGGAGGTGGTCAGGGCAGGGAGGTAGTCAGTGTAAGGAGGTGGTCAGTGTAGGGAGGTGGTCAGGGCAGGAGGGAGGTAGTCAGTGTAAGGAGGTGGTCAGTGTAGGGAGGTGGTCAGGGCAGCAGGGAGGTAGTCAGTGTAAGGAGGTGGTCAGTGTAGGGAGGTGGTCAGGGCAGGGAGGTGGTCAGTGCAGCAGGGAGGTAGTCAGTGTAGGGAGGTAGTTAGTGTAAGGAGGTGGTCAGTGCATGGAGGTGGTCAGGGCAGGGAGGTGGTCAGTGCAGCAGGGAGGCAATCAGTGTAGGGAGGTGGTCAGTGTAAGGAGGTGGTCAGTATAGGGAGGTGGTCAGTGCAGGGAGGTGGTCATGGCAGGGAGGTAGTCAGTTAAGGAGGTAGTCAGTGTAAGGAGGTGGCCAGGGCAGGGAGGTGGTCAGGGCAGGGAGGTGGTCAGTGTAAGGAGGTGGTCAGTGTAGGGAGGTGGTCAGAGCAGGGTGGTGGTCAGTGTAAGGAGGTGGTCAGTGTAGGGAGGTGGTCAGTGCAGGGAGGTAGTCAGTGCAGGGAGGTGGTCAGGGCAGGGAGGTGGTCAGAGCAGGGAGGTGGTCAGTGTAGGGAGGTGGTCAGTGTAGGGAGGTGGTCAGGGCAGGGAGGTAGTCAGTGCAGGGAGGTGGTCAGAGCAGGGAGGTAGTCAATTGTAAGGAGGTGGTCAGTGTAGGGAGGTGGTCAGGGCAGGGAGGTAGTCAGGACAGGGAAGTGGTCAGTGTAGAGAGGTGGTAAGTGCAGGGAGGTGGTCAGTGTAGGGAGGTAGTCAGTGCAGGGAGGTGGTCAGGGCAGGGAGGTAGTCAGTGTAAGGAGGTAGTCAGTGTAGGGAGGTGGTCAGTGTAAGGAGGTGGTCAGTGTAGGGAGGTGGTCAGTGCAGGGAGGTGGTCAGTACAGGGAGGTGCTGAGTGCAGGGAAGGTGTCAGTATAGGGAGGAGGTCAGTGTAAGGAGGTGGTCAGTGTAGGGATGTGGTCAGTGCAGGGAGGTGGTCAGTGTAAAGAGGTGATCAGTGCAGGGAGGTGGTCAGTGAGGAGGTGGTCAGTGCAGGGAAGTGGTCAGTGTAGAGAGGTGGTAAGTGCAGGGAGGTGGTTGGTGTAAAGAGGTGGTCAGTGTAGGGAGGTGGTCAGTGTAAAGAGGTAGTCTGTGCAGGAAGGCGGTCAGTGTAAGGAGGCGGTCAGTGCAGGGAGGCTGTCAGTGTAGGGAGGTGGTCAGTGCAGGGAGGTGGTAAGTGCATGAGGTGGTCAGTGTAAGTAGATGGTCAGTGCAGGGAGGCAGTCAGTGTAGGGAGGCGGTCAGTGCAGGGAGGTGGTCAGTGCAGCAGGGAGGCTGTCAGTGTAGAAGGTGGTCAGTGTAGGGAGGTGGTCAGTGCAGGGAGGTGATCAGTGTAAAGAGGTAGTCAGTGCAGGGAGGTGGTCAGTGTAAAGAGATGGTCAGTGCAGGGAGGTGGTCAGCTATGGAGGTTCTACTGTGTCTATTCTTTCCTACAGAAAAGGGAAATGTCAAAAGAGTCAATGCTTTGCTATCACTTTAAATTCAAATCTTCTTCCACCTCACCAAAAGAAAAACCACAACAGAACCTCACAGAGAAAGGAGAAAGTGCCTGAAACACATCCCCCCTCCTTGACCTGTGGAATGACCAAAGTCGAAGCAGCTGGCCCTGCCAGGCATTCCCAGAGCCTCAAAAGACTGAGGTCTGAGTTACTTCTCCAAACTTAAGTTTCTGCCCCTTTCATCCAAATGGAACAAAATCTTTGCTGCTGATGAGACTGCATCAGACAGTGCAAGGGCTCTGTGCCTACAGGGTCCCTGCAGTAAGCACAGGGGGCCGGGGCCTCAGCCACACTCCTCTGTGCTGCCTCACCTCTGCCCATTCCATACCCCTCCCCATTCAATCTCTCAGTGCCCAGAGTCCTGCTGACAGCACCATCGGCACCAGGGTGTGCAGAGGGCTCTCTGGGTGCAGGTATCTTTCTGGTCAGAGACCAGGCTGGATCTCGGGGGAGAAATCACTTTTTGCAATCTTTATGGGCAAGCCCTAAAAGAAGTCAGAAGATAACCACTGACTGAGGAACCACTTCTGAAGTGGAGCACCAGTGCTGCTGCTTGCTTTGTGGAGAAAAAGAGTTCCTTAGGGTTCTAGAAATAGCTTTTCATAAGAAAAAAAAATGATTGTATACATGCAATAGAATATTATTCAGCCTGTAAAAGGGCAAGACATTCTGACACAATCTACACCACAGGTGGACCTTGAGGATGTTATGTTAAGTGAGATGAGGCAGGCACGGAGTGATAGGCATTGTGGTTCCACCTGCAGGTCTCAGGGGTCCTCAGATTCCCACAGGCAGAAGCTAGAATGGAGAGTGCTGGGGGCGGGGGAGAGGGGCGTGTCTTGTGGAAATAGGGTTCTGGCTGGGGAGGATGGACAGTTCTGGAGATCACAGTGGTAATGGCCACACAGCAGCGTAACACACTCAATGCCATGGAGCTACTCACTTAAAAGTGGCTCAGCTGGGCAATCTGTGTTATATGGATTTTACAGTTTTGTTTTTTTTTTAAGTAAAAGAAACATCTGCAAAGAGTGTCAGGGACAGTGGTAGGGGTCAGGGAGAACATGAGGCAGGGGTGGGCAGGGAGGCCACTCAGCCATAGGTCCCCTGGATGTCATGGGTGAATAAGCTTGTGGGGTCCTGCTGGTCAGGAGGCACCAAGGGTCTAGAGAGGGCTTAGGGCATATGGGGAAGCCCTGGGGTCAGTGAGGACCCTGGCATGTGTCTGACACGTGGATGTGCTGCCCTGACCAGCCTGCCCTGCTGCTTTCCCTGCAGGTGTCAGGCAGTTCAGCGATGACATCAAGCAGATGACGGGGCAGCGGCCCAGCCTGTACTGGCGGCTGTGCTGGAAGCTGGTCAGCCCCTGCTTCCTCCTGGTAAGGGACCATGAGGGTGGACACCTGAGGGAGTGAATGCATGGGAGGTCATGGGCAAGGAAGGCCATTGAGTGCCACTTTGAGACGAGGGTCACCACAGCTGGAACCAGCAGGGCCTCAGGACTCAGCCCAGAAGGGACCCAAAGTCATCGCTGGTCTCCTGAAAAGGTCACCCACCTTCCTCTCCGGCACTATGAGAAAGACTCCCATGTGGCCCCAGGTGGCCTTGGGCCCCCAGTGAGGCTGTGTGAGGTTTGCACTCAGGCCACACCTCTGTGTCTGAGGGAGGTCAAGAGTGATATAGGTAGTTACCCACTTCTGCTGTGACACTGGATGGAATTTATACCTTATAGGACAGCAGGGTCAGGGATGCCAGGTACTAGCAACCCCAAGAACAAGCATGACCCAGCCTCTGTCCCACACTCCCTCAGGTCCCTGCCTGAGGCTAGCTGCTCTGCTGTACCCAGAGGCTGCCTGGCTTTTGTCATCTGGGGTCAGCAAATCAGGGCCCCCCAACCAAGTCCCTGGATGTCTGTCCTTACAAACAGAGTTTTTCAGGGACGTGGCCACACCCATTCCCACCCTGCCTGTCTGTGGCTGTCTCTTCACCACAACCACAGAGACCAAAGTGGCTCACAAAGCCAAATTATCTGGCCTGGACAAGTGGCCTCGGGCAGACACAGGAAGCCTAGGCAGGCCTGAGCAGTCTTATGAGCTACTCACAGAGATGAGCACCTTCCCAGAGTCCACAGCCAGCAGGGCCACACCCGGAGTGGGGCAGGTGGCTCAGGCCCACAGGGTGCTATGTGTGTGAAGGCCCCTTGCTACGAACACAAAGCAGGAGGGGTTTGAGCACCTGAGTGCAGGCTCCTGAGGTGTCAGAAAGAGACAGAGACAGGGTCTGTCCTGGAGGAACTGGAAGGCACCAGAGAAACAACCAGTACTTTAAGCAAACCATGGTAGCACAGAACCGAGTTGTGCAGTCTGACTGCACATTGAGTGTCTCCAGCCTAGATCACAGCTGCAGCTCCCACTGCCCATCACTGAGCAGCCTGGTGCGGAGGAGTAAGGAAATCAAACTTGGCCTCTGCCTCCCGACCCATGTCTGACTCGAGAGCTCTCTTCTTGCTGCTCAGTCTTGAGTCTAGGCCCCTGCAGGTTAGCATGCAGCCCCCTTAACACCCAGGAGCTGACCTGCAATCTCAAGGATGACACATTCTGCAGGTGACCAGCCTCAATCTTTGAGCTGAAATATGCTTTGTGGAGTTTGAGATAAAACCTGCCACCTTGATAAAAACACAGCAGTGTCATCGCTTTATATCACCTTACCTTTAATTTTAGAGCCCATTTCCTACAAAGTTTAGACTTCAGCAGAAAAATAATTTCCACATTATCCTGTGTCCTTGACATTGCTGTCCCCTCTGGTGTGTGGCTTTTGATCATAGCCAAGCACAGACCCAGACCTGGTTCTACGTGACTGTTTGGTGGCAGGGTACACCACATCACTCCAAAAGGTAGATCACACCAGGTAGTAAGAGTCAACTCATGTGGCAGGTTATGGCCATGGCAGACAGGTCTTTCTAAGATACATGAAGTCTAGTAAGAAGATGAACAGTGCAAGAAAATACATTACAACAAAACCAACATGCCATGTATTCAAAATGTACATATCATAGCTTTGTAAAATACAGCAGAACCTCTGTAAGTTGACTACCCAAAGGACTACGAAAACTGGTCAACACACAGAGGTGGTGACCATAAGGAACAAGGCCCACTGTCCCAACATGCACATGTGGTGCCTGTCTGGTCTGCGGAAGTTAGGTCAGCTTGAGGAGGTGGTCGGTGCAGGCAGGTGGGCAGCTATGCAGGTTCTCCTGTATGTGGAAAGCACTGAGCAGCTGATGACGGCCCAGTCTGAGGTGCTCCAGGACACTCACTCCTCTTGCAGGAGAGCCTGGCCACTTCCTTCCTACAGCCTGACCTGCTCTCGCTGCCCCAGGCCAGGAGTCCATGCAAAGCAACACGCAAAGAGGAGGTCGAGGCTAGTGTAAGAGATGTGTGTGCAAATGCGCCTGTTAAGATGGAGTGTGTGAATGTTGAACTTCTCAGAAAAGTTGACAATGAGTAAAAATTTGCATTTATGCCACCTTGTAACCAAATCTGGTAGAGCATCCTTTGTCTTCTCAGGACGGACTTGTCTTGTCCAGGTATGCAGTAGGTGTGCGGCACACGTGTAGATATGTAGCACATATGTAGGTATGAAGCACACATTTAGGCATGCAGTCATGTGTAGATACACAGGACAAGTACGTGTAGGCACAAAGGACACACACGTTAGATACACAGGATATACATGGCAGACACATGTTAGATACACAGGATGTACATGGCAGGTACACAGGACACACATGTTAGATACACAGGATATACATGGCAGACACATGTTAGACACACAGGATATACATGGCAGGTACACAGGACACACATGTTAGATACACAGGATGTACATGGTAGGCACTCAGGACACACAGGATGTACATGGCAGGTACACAGGACACACAGGATATACATTGCAGACACATGTTAGACACACAGGATGTACATGGCAGGTACACAGGACACACAGGATATACATGGCAGACACGTTAGACACACAGGACTTACATGGCAGGTACACAGGACACATGTTAGATACACAGGATGTACATGGCAGGCACACAGGACACACAGGATGTACATGGCAGGTACACAGGACACATGTTAGACACACAGGACGTACATGGCAGGTACACAGGACACACAGGACGTACATGGCAGACACACAGGACACGTTAGACACACAGGACATACATGGCAGGCGCACAAGACACACACGTTAGACACACAGGATGTACATGGCAGGCACACAGGACACATGTTAGGCACACAGGATGTACATGGCAGACACAGGACACACATGTTAGACACACAGGATGTACATGGCAGACACACAGGACACGTTAGACACACAGGACGTACATGGCAGACACATAGGACACATGTTAGACACACAGGATGTACATG